TTTCTTAACATGTGGCTTTACTGCAAGAGAGTTGACTTCAATGCTTTTTTTCCCCCCTAACGTTTCTCTAGATATTGAACATATAATCTACAATATTCAATTCTTATGTATTTGTAAGAAACACATCAGTCAAGCAATATATGGACTTTTATTTAGATGAGTATTATGATATATGTTGGACCAAATGGTGATGGATGAGTTCTTGTGGTGATAGAGTAAATTGTAATAAACAAATTGATTATGAATCAGATTAGCGAGGTTTAGGATAGTTTAGTATTAACCAGCCTCATTCCTCTTCGGCCTTGTGCCATAATTGTAATCATATTACTATAAATAATCATAAGATCTATGCTAACAGATTCTTCTACTGCACTTTTCGCTTGTGGAACTCTTTTCAGCTTCTTGCTTCCCAGTCAACTTCTTCAAAAATTTAAATGCAACATCAATCGTTATCTTCTGTCTTCTTTTATGGATCTCTCTCCTTAATAGCTTATGACCACACCACATTAAAAAAACTGGTTAAGCTATGTCAAATTTGGTCAGTATCTAGATTGGTGACTGCTTAGGAATACCAGGTGGCATAAGCATGGATATACGAGTGGTGTAATGGATAATAGCTTGGGATTATTAATCAAAGAGCCAAGTTCCAATTCCAGTTAGGTTCATTATATTCACTTACATGCAAATAGCCTTAGGAAAGGTATGAATCCATCTCTCCCCCCAGCTATGGGTTAATTAGTAAGACTTGTATCACTAAATCACTATTATTGCAAAAAAAAAAAAAAAAAAAAATATTACAATATAAAAATATTTTCTGGTTTTAAACCACCTGCAAAGTGTTGATAAACTGTAAAAATTGAATCAATCTCTCCTTAATAATTTTTTCTTCTCATGTTCTCTAACACTCAGTAACCACTTATGTCTTAGTGGTTTTAGTGCTTTGCTTGGAATGAAATAATTAAAAGAAAGAAAAAATTCAAATAATAATTATTTATTTTTTAACCAGTATTTCTTTCATGGTGTTCAACTGCTTTTTATCATTATCAGACAATCATTCCGCAATCATAGAATGATGGTCCGAGAAGTTGGAACAAAAAAGAAATTGAAATTAAGACGAAGCAAGAACAAGTCAAAAATTAACTGACAATGCTTCATTTAATAGTAGTAAAATTCAATATTAAAGCTATTCAAACTTTTAACAGAGATTTTATTATTATTATATTACAAATATTCCAGATCTGTAAAATCTATCTGGAATATTAATAACAAATCAAGTATTCTATGTAGATCAAGGATGATGCCCTTAATGGAAGAGAAATTCACTTTTGCCCAGAAGTGGAGTGAACTGTTCTCATTTTAGATGGGAGAAGGAGCCTTGGCCTAGGGATTCTAACCCTACAACAGTACCTTCCTCATTGCACCAAGAGAGATAAGTTCAGTGTAATATCAACACCAGCATGACACTTGTCATAGAATGGGACAATTTTTATCCTTGGCCCATATGCATACATATGTGTCTGGGCTCCCCATGTAAAAAACTACTTTATGCCACATCATTCCTTAGTGGGAAGGCTGGGTAAATATACCTTAATGTAAATTTCTCTACTTCCCTTTTTTTTCTTTTTCTCTTTTTTTTTTAAAACTAAAGCTGTACATGAAAATGACTACAACTGTATGCAAAACTGTTCCCTTATTTTTAAAAGTTCAGATATTTAGTACATCTACATGCTTTTAAAATCTACAATGCCCTAAGCAATACAACTGCTACAATATGACCAATTTCTAAAGTACCACTTTATTAAATGGGTTTATATTTCTTTGTGCTTGCAAAATTGTCGTATTCAGATGCCAACAACATCTATAGAAAATATACATCAGAAGCCAAGTTTTTACAAATGGAATTTTTTTTAACATTTCAAGTTGCTATTGTGTGTTTTTGTTGGACCAAAAACAAAATGTCATGCCCGATTTAAAATCAGGGATATTGAAAAAATATTTATGGTAATGGTGAGAAATGTAAACAAGTCAATGGACATTTCTTTAAACAGAAATGCATTCATGTTATCCTGACATCATTTATGCTTTTGAATTTTATTTAATTTTTATATAATTGTACAAATAAAAATATTTATTATGCTTTTCCATTTTTTGTTGAAGTAAATTCTTTTAATCATTTTTACATAGTATTTTTTAATACAATGTGAATACAAATGCAAAAAGACCTACTCTATACCTCTGTTTCATAGATTAAAAAAGGCATTTGATATAGTACATCATAAAGAACTACTTGAAATATTAGAAGAGCTTGATTTACATAGGAAAGATATTAGAGCAGTGTTTCTAAAACTTTTTAAGCAATGGCAAAATATGGCACACTTAGCAAAATTTTTAATAATGAAGAATAGTGAAAAGAATTATTTGAAAAAAATTTTAACACTTGTTCATTTATTCAAATACTAATTCTGTACCATTGCTATTTCAGCACGTGTGTGTGTGTGTG